TGTATGCAGTCATAGGTACATTCATTGCGTTAAAATACATCTTTTTTGCTTATTTTTTGTTTGTTTGTTTGTTTTTTTTGGTTTTTTATAAAGGGCATATGTAGATATATTTCACAGATTGAATGTTACATATAAACCTGCATTTGCAGACAACCACTAAAAAGTATGTGGGAAGGAAGTGAAAACTTGGAGAAGTCCAACTGTGTCTGAACAACCTGGCGAGAATCACTGTGCAATATGCAGAGGATACGGCATGAAGGACCTGTACTCAAATCTTGCCAGTCTTCATTTTCATCTCCAGTCCAGTCCTGAGGAAAAGGCTGCTATAGGTTTTCTCTCATTGTAAAGGAGTAAAATTCTCTTTGATGGTTCTTTGTTTGCTGTTTTCCTAACAATTTAAATAATGTAAGAGGGGGAATTTTACTTTGTTCTGGACTTGTCTTAGTGGAAAACTGGATAGCAGAGCCTGGGTCTGAGATTTACTACAGATTTATAATGTTTATGGGTAAGAAAAGTCAAGAGGAATCAATGGAAAATTGGTTACATGTCCCATTAGAAGTATAAATGATACTCAAGGGAATATTTGAGCTCCTAAATCCTTTCAAAATTAAAGAAAAAGACCCCAAAATCAACAGCTAGTCTCCTTGAAACTTTAATTTTACTTATAATTAAGTATTCTTAAATAACAAGTATATTGTGACCTTAGATGAATATCAAGCTGTGTAAGTTATTTGCTCTCTATGCAACCATTTGTATGAGGAATAGTATCTAGGTATCCTCTAGGCGTGTATCAAAAGTAATTTACAACACATTTCTTAAAAGATACATTTTAACTATAAATAAATATTATGCAATGCAAATTATTAATGTGTAAATGTTAAATCTCTGAGAATCAAGAGAAAGGAAAACTCACGCATTAAAATTGAAGAAAACAACAAAAATTAATGGGCTCTAGTTACAGAAAGGCCTGTGTATCTTAGTCGAATGTAAAACCTTTCCACTATGTCTTCTAAGCAGCATAAAGACTGGGTCTGCAAACAAGAAGGCAAGGAATCCTGCTAGTACTAATATAAATTAAAATATTATATTGCAAGTTTTACTGTTTCTACTTGAAGCTATCGAAGACTGAATAAATCAGAAATAAAAAGTCAGAGCAAGGAATTAATATTAGGCAGAGGAAAAAAATCTTTAAACTTTTAAGAATTATAGTAAGAATTTTTGTTCATTGTGTAGTCAAGCAGTAATGAAAGGGGATGCATTTATTGCTACAGTGCAATTTAACAGTCTATGCCTGAAACATCAGTAAAATCTGTGGTAGCTATTCATATAGATCAAAAGCACAGTGTGGCTGTAAATAATTTCAGTGAATACTCTTTATTTAGGTAAAATTTTTTAAGATCCCTGAAGGCAAACAAGGTTGAGTGTGTAGGCAAATAAACTAATATGTCAACTAATATATCAAAGTGAAGTTTGTCTCTCCTGGCGTAGACATAGTCTGGGGCTAAATGATAAAAGGTGCCTTAGATCAGAATGAGGAAATCAAATGGTAATAATATTTCTATGAGAAAATAGGGACCTAATACTACTAAAGGTTAAGAACATTTTTAAGTTGCTGTATCAAAGTCTAATATTCTCATTAGATTCTCTCCACCTATGTCATATCAAAGCTTAAGAAAAAGGTAAAGGTAAATTTTTATTTTATTTTTTTTAATACTACTTGTGCTAGTAATTGTGTGATCATCAGTTTTTCAGCAAGTTCTTATGGCTTCCAGACTGTCTGAGATCTAGAACACCTAGTACAGATAACTGAGTGTGGGTGGTATTTACTAAAGTCTGCAACATCGATATATTTGTCAAATTTTTACAGCAAATCCCTGACAAAAAAATAAAGTTGTGCTGTAGTATTTTATGTGCTTTTAATTTTTTTGTTTTGTATGGGTCTGAGTCAAAACAAGATCAAGCACAACTACCTAGCTTTATGGTTCATTTTGTATTTCAGTAGCATCTTTCCTGTCTTTAAAGAAGTTTCGTACTGAGAAAGGAAAAATAGATTAAGATTTTCAAGGTCTTTCTGTTGATTCCCTTGTCACATTTCTTCTCTCCTGTACAATGAATAGTTAGATCCAGTACATTGTTGAGGGG